ATCCTTTTTTAAGTGTCCCATATAAATTTCTTGAAATTAGTGTTCATGAATTTGTTAAAAATATTATATCATCATTGAAGAAGAAAGTTATGCATATCAGTATTGAACATTAAAACATATCCAGTTTTGTGGATACCAAGTATATTGATTTTGATATCAAATTTGTCTTGTCACTTTGATTCTAGATGAAAAGAAATCAAAGTAATTCCTTTAAAGTTATATATATAGTTTATTAATTTTTCAAGGTTTAAATAAAATGTGTAAATGCTTATATGTTATTGTTATATCAAAATGAAATTATATTCTTTTAACTGGATATGTGAATAATCTTGTTATATTTTATATAATCTGAACATTATAATAGTTCATAAAATTATATGTATCAAGCATACATGTAACATATTAAATGTATATGTTATATGCATGTAATATGCATATATATATATTTTCTTTTTTGCATGCTATCCTGTGGTATACGCTTTTTATTTACATTCTAGGGAAGGAAGTAGTCAAATGCTCATTATTTGTACTACAAGCCTCAAGAGGGAACTTTATTATGATGCTCATACATGGTCAGCATGCAATCTTTAAAGTTTCAGTTTTCCTTACATAATATTTTTTTGTCTTACTTTCCTTTCTTTATGATTGCACTGTGGTTTTCGTACAACATAAATTTTAGTTGAATACCTACAGTGTGTATTTCATACACTGAAACAAATGCTTTTTTCCCACTCATTTAGTTTGTTTGTGAATCCACCTGTACAGTGGTTACAAAGTAAAAACTTTGTACATCTTTGCAATAATGTATTTCAATTTTCATTAATCTGTAGTTTACATATAAGGTAATACAATCCTTAAATGTTGTTTCTTTCTGATATTTGTAGTGTAGTATCTGTATAAATAGTATATTAATTAATTTTTAAACAATCAAAATTAAAATCGTCTTTTTCACCCAGAATTTAACACTCCCATATTATATTTCAATAAAGTATCTAAAATAGATATGTATAAATAGTAGTGTGTTCGTCATTTAAAAATAAATATAAATCAGAGGATGCTTACTAATTGAAGAACTAAGTAAAATATGATCCTACATTGTAGGTTTCCTGCTTTATATTATTGTGCATTCATCATTATTTTGTTTCATGCTTTCAGTAGTTGTAAAAAATTTGTATGCATGTGGGATGTGTAATGTTAATGGATATTGAAAGTTAAACATTTCACTGATATTTTTGTTTTCTTCTTTTTGTATTACAGTAATACCACAAGACATCATGAAGACCACAATTTGTTCATCGTCGACGTAAAAATTATTATAATCATTTATTACCACAGAGTGATAATTATGATAAGTTTTACGGAATAAATGTGTACTCTTCTTGGTGAAAAAAAAAATGTATTGCAGTACTTTTTCTTATACCTCGTTGTTTATACAACACATATTCATGAGCTATTATTATGAAAAGGATATATGAATTTGTAAACAGATGTATTTTAATATTGAAAATGTTTATTTTCATATAAAATCTAATGATGTTCCAGCTGAAAATTTTAATAAAAATGCAAGACTCAAGGAAATTACAAAAAAGAAAGTTATTGTTTAGATATATACTGCAATGTCATCCCATTAAAACTTCGGCGGATCCTTTACGAATAAAATCATTATCGGTTTCATTATCCTCCATTTGTTCGTCTGTTTTCGGTGAAGAATATTCATGTGAATCAGTCTGCTCAGTAGTAGTTTGCGGATCTACTTTTTGCGTTACTGTAGGTGTTACATTATTCATAGACAATATGGTTGTAGTTGAGGTGGTTAATATAGATTTTGTAGTTCCTGAGTCTTTCACAACGTTAAAAGTCTCTTCACTCTCTACCTCAGCTGAGTTTTTTGGTTGAATGTTATTCGGGAGTTGGAAATCCGTTTGATCAAAATTATTGTCAAATCCATTTTGATTTCTAAATCCTTTCTGAATGAAGTACCAATTGCCAACACGAAATCCCCAATCTTGATTAGGATTAAAAGGCAAAGCAGCTGTAATTTATAAAAAAAAATGTTACTCAGTAGAATTTTAATAAAAACTGATTTTTATGAAACTGTCGAAAACAAGTGATTAACGAAAATATGTAGATTAAGATTATAATCATGTATTATATCAGTTTTTTAATTCACCCAAAACAGCATGTGTTTAGTTGATTAATTATTTTAATATCAGTTTTTAATGTAGCACTTATGAAAAGGAGCAGTAATTTTAACATTAAAGAACAGTCACTATTTACATAAATCTAATGGAAGCCATTCACGATTTTTTAATATGTTCTGTAATTCAAATTGGTCAAAATTCAATATTTCTGCTGACAATGGAGGTGGTGTTGTAATTGTTGATGGAAATAGTCGATCATGAATTCTATTCCTTATATTTGCAAACCAATCTCTTATTTTCTGGAAGAATTCATCACTTTGAAAACCTCCTTGTAGTCTACTATTTTCTGCAATAAAATGTTTTCATCGTTATTCGTGAATACTAAAATTATGCGCTAAACTATATCAGTGGGAATATTTATAATTTATAAGTGATAATACTGGGAATAAAAGAAGTATGATGTCGTTGTTATATTATTAAAATGTTTTAAGTTTCAGTGAATTGCAACAATTGCACAATATTATCAAGTATGAGTGATTTTTATTTCAAATAGAATTAAATAAAAAATTAAATTTTTTAATAGTACACAATGCAGTAATTTAAAAACAAGAAATTTCGCATATTTCCTCAACACATCGTATCTTATTATTTGAACAAAATAGCACTTTTTGTCAAGAAAGTTGTTGAATCAATACTTTTCACCAAAATAATACTAGTAAAATGTAACACCTTTGTTATAAATTCCTATTGATGTAGATAGATTGCAAGTAGCAAGCAACAGAAAAGTAATAAGAATATACATTTTTTCTAAACAAATACTGACCTGTGTAACGAAATGTTCGTGCCTTTATATGTCGCCGGAAACGGATGCTCATTACTATAACAATTTTATCGAAAATCACGTAGATTCTGCATGATGTTATTCAACAACAATAACCTTGTCTATCCTGATTCTGATGATAAGACTATTGTATAGGTAAAATGGTATAATGATAAAACTATACTAAATATTTTTTGAAATGTGTATTTGGAATATAACATAACTCAAAATCAATACCTGGTGGACATATACAAATATTTTCGAAGTATTGATTGTACAAAGTATTATATGCCCCTTTTGAGATTTAATTTTTTCTAGGTGTACCTGATATTATGTATTGTATATCGTTATACTGAACCAATTATATACCAGGGACCAATAAAAATAATATATTGATTTCAAGCCACCAAAGCTGAACATGTATACATGAAATTTGTTCAGTAGAGAAATTTAAACATTTACTGTTTCCTAATTATGAATTATTACATACTTATCTTATTATGTGTAATAAAAATAAATAATTTTACAGTCATTAGAGTATTAATAACTAAAAAATAAATTAAGAATCCTGATTCATTTACTATTGTACAATGTACATTGTTACAAGCTACATGTTGATTATTGCACTTTGTCATGTCATTTAAGCCAAGTATTTGTAATTTTCCTAAACATTTATATTCGTCAAATATGGTTATAATTCCATTTAGGAATTAAGAATAGCCATTTCAAATGATCATCAATGAATTTGTAATATTCCTAAGTCTTAGATTACATTATGATTGGTAATTGATAATATATTTAAACTTCTAATAAACTTAACCTATTTACACTTTTACATGCTATATGACATTGTTAATTAAGTAAAACATAAACTGGTACATAAATCTGCAGTGACGTATTTTATCCTTCTTAACCGTGATTACTGTCGTACATTGGATTGTATCGAATGTTGAAAATCACAATCCAATTCGTTTCCTATATTCGTAAATTTGGGTTTTGTAATGTAGGGCAAGTGAAAACAAGATTAGTTTTTTGCCTTTGTCGTAGTCAACCTCGAATTTAACAGATTATTGTTGTCGCCGATGTTCACAGCACGAGTGTCACAATGGTATGTGTCTCGCCAGAATATTGATTTCATCCTAAATTCTACGATAAATTCAATATTCTGACATCATGATACGTTCATTTTGTTTTTGACGACAGATTATATTTATGCCATTATCATTCAAGCTCCTATTTAATGAATATCAATAGGTTCTTAAACAGGTTAAATAGTTACGCAAATGTGTGTATAACCCAGTCAGAACTGGCTCCGAATACTAAAAATATTACTTTTTCATCTTTCTGCTTTTTTTGTTGGATCAAAATATCGTAAAAATTAACATGCTAACTGTGGCTGATATAATGTTGAAATTAATACGACTCTCCTGTACTTCCTGATGTATTCTTAAGTGTCTGCACAAGTTACATTTTTAGGATCTAAGAGGTCGGCCTTGTTTTATTTCAACAGTTAGGTGACTGCATATATGCGTTAGCATGCATTTTGCTACATTGTAAGTTATATGTGTAGCAGTTAATTCGTTGAAAGGACTGCTGCTTGCAAAGTAATGTACATGAAGCTAGGACATTAGGCACCGACGCAGCCTCGAGACTACTTGGAGCAGGCGGGCTAACTCTGACCACATGTGCAAGTGGGTTCGACCATAGCGACACGTTTAGCAAAATTCTCTTTAGATTTGCAGTTATCGAAAACCTGCAACTTGAATTTACTCTGAAACAAGTCTCCAGGTGATTTTTGTTCACATACACGTTATCGTAGCCTGGAGAAATTTATTTTCGTGCATATGTTCTTGAAAAAATAGCACATCCGAGAACGTATGCTACATCGTTTGAGACTCAGTTGTAACATTGACCCTACTACATCAGCTAATGTAAGTATATACATAATGTAGGTATAAATGATATATTATAGAATTTACAAGTTAAGTAAATAAAGTAGCTCTATGTGTTTTTGCGAAATTCATATTGTCGACAGGTTAGAAACCTTTATTTTGGAGAGGTATTCGTATCGTCGTAACACAACTTACGGTTGACGTGAAAAGTAATAATATACTTGGATTGGACAGTTTTATTAGATATGTCAAAGATATAGTGAACAAAACTGTTTAAATCTTGTACAGTTATATGAATAAATGTGTTAAAAGCATTTTGTGGATCGTCCAACATGAACTCTTCCAGTTAGGTTTTATTAGGATGGGTCATATGACGCCAAACAGTGACGGACCAATATTTACAAGATCCCTTTACAAGATGTTTACTAAACTGTACATAAATATATCTACAAAGTATTTCAATATTTCTCATGCTTTGGATAAAGTATCTGAATTTATAATATATATTGTAACGCAATTTAAAAGAATTAAAATAGTAGAAATATGCCGATATAAAATGCTTAGATAGCAACTGAATATTTACTCGTACATTATTAATAAATTCATTGTCTTTAGTTATAATACAGAATTTCTGTTTTATTAGTGGTGTTTAAAACAAAATTATGTAAAAACGTAACCTCTATCTCGAAATATTTATTTCATTATATCTATACGTCCCA